ACTAAAAACCCTTGAAAAACCATCTTTTTTAAGAGTGAAGGGCTGATTTTACTGGCCAGTTGGAGACATGACATTTACAAATCAAAAGCCAAAAGCAGTAGTGTAACAGACCAAACACACACACACATACACACACATACACACACACACACACACACACACACACATACCCTCCAATCCAGGCAGTACAGCTACAAGGAGATTACAAGCTCAAGCCGCTGCCTTGCTCATTGAGTTTGACAGAAAGAAGGATAAGGTCAGAGTGAGAGAGGGCATGGCAGGATACAGAGAGTGTGAACGTGACTATGTTAAGGTTTAAAAGGGTAAAAGTCGTTGTGCATGACTTTATGTGTGAGCTTAAACATGTATCTATAGCTATAATAATGATAATATTTGGGTAATATTGGGTAACATAACCTCCAGTTTGCACGCCCTTTAGCATTAGTCTGTTGGCAGATGCTCAGGAGTTCTGACATGTGGCTATTCTCTTGGTGTGTCTCCTTAATTGTTTCTCTTTCACCCTGCCTTCCTTCCTCCTCTTCCTTTTTCATCCATCTTTCTTGACAGAGATGAGTAGATATAGGTTAGTTGGTATGGGTGCATGCTGTCAGTCAATGTTTGTGGATGTCCTGATGGATGAGGTGATGTATTGGATCAGTGGCACCTCTACTGAGAAGAACTAAATTAGATAGAAACCCATATGGACAGAGAGAGAGAGAGAACAGTTGTGCTGTTTCTTCCCCCCCTGTTTTAAATCATATCTTTAGCCACAATGGTGTTTGTCCAGTCTGATTTTGTGTTCTCTATTTCTATTCTCATTGCCAATAGCACTCTGAGAACCTCCAATAAACTGAGAAATCCGTCACTGATCTGACAACATCTAATGAAGGATTTCCACATGCTAAGTTCTCATTAATCTTTTCTGTTGCATGTTCCGTAAGAACTATTCTCAAACAGCTACTGTAAATCCTACCATATCACCTTCCAAACGACCACTCAATACTATATTTTGTGAAACAGCCTATGAGTATGTACCAATTCAGAGGCTGCATCCTTCAAGGATGCGGCCTACGAAGGTGTGTCCTTCGAAGGCTGTGTAAACCTGCAAAGGCTGAACCAAAATGAGATGGTCTGCTCTACGGCAGATTTCCTGTTTGCTTCACAGCGCCGCTGTTCCCGCCCTTAAAATGCTGCTCTTGTCAAGTTCTTTTTAAGTTCTTTTGTTTTTAATTTTTTTCATTTATTAGAGCTGGAGATGCTTCTCTCTGTCTGCTCCTCGCTCCCTAAAACAAAACAAAACGTTAGCGTAAGTTTTGCTTCAGACCACGTTGGCTTTTTTTAAAACATTTGTATCGTTAGCTTAAAGTTTAAACCCAATACTTACATTTAAAAGTGTCTCCTCAGCCACCTTTTGCTCATCTGCTGAGGCCATGTTCTCAAATCCTTGCCGGCACGCAATGAACCTCGGGATATGTTGGCTGGCGAAGGATCCTCCCGTTGAATCCTTTGTTGCCATGGAAAAGAAGGACACATTTCTCGGAGCCTTCGAAATGGGACAGCCAGGTCATGCTGCTGTGATGCAGTTGGCCTTCAAATGCAGCCTCCGAAGGATGCAGCCCCTGAATTGGGACATAGGTCTTGTTCTGGACCTTAAAAGGAAACTTCACAGATATTTCAAAATGTCTGCGTAATTCAGTCACTGAGATTGAACATTTATTCAGAATGATTTGGTGTTAAATGGTGTGCTGCAGAAAAACTTACCGAATTCTTTACAGCGGTGGTGATACGAACCAGGGCTCACAGTGTCTACAACGCAAAATTTAGCCATTTGCTTTACTACCTAAAGGACCAGTGAGCCTATATGTGTCTTCTGAGTTTTCATATGTAATGCTGGTAGTTGTAAAATTGTATTAAAACCAGCAAACAAAAGTTTTCTTTGAGGACTATTTTGCCTTACAACACTAACTATTGGCCAAAACCTAATCTTAAAACAATAACGTAAGCAGCCTTTTCACAACCATCTTTTGTAGCTGCTTCCTATGTAGGTTTTACAGGCATTAAACACTTCAGAGGTCTGGTTCCCATCACAACCCCTGTGAACAATTCTGGCACGTTTATCCAGCAAGTTTGTCTAGAATTGGACATTTCACTTCAGACCACTCTGAATGACTTTGTTTACATCTTAACAGTTTCATTTTGCATACACTTTGAAAAATCTGTGGAATTCCCATTTTACCTGACAGGTGAAGCTGGAATTGGGATTGTGCTGCAATGTCTATTACGAAACAGCTATGATTCTCATCTTCTTTCATGCTGCTGAGGGTGTATATCGCAGTAAATGTTCTTGTTCTCTTCCGTTGGTCTGTTTTTCATAACCTGAGGGCTGTGTGATAGCTACAACATGTTCCAGTCTCGCCACTCAAGGGGAGCGTGTTCTAAAAAGCCTGAGAGCTTCTCTTCATGCCTTATTTATTTACCTTTCCCAAAGCGCTGAACACCAAGGCACACTGTCGTTTATGAAAGAAGACATACAGAAAGCTGGAAGGCTCATCTTTCTTGCACACTTTTAAATATAATGTTTTGCGAATGGGTCTTGGCCAGGACATTAGGGATGTGCATTCCAACTAATTTTTCTATTTACCCTTAAGGGTCAATGAATGGATCATCGAGTAAAAACAGGGAAAGAAAAAAACGACATTAATGTAGAGTTGTAACTTAGCTTTTTAGGTGACAGCACTGGTGTTGCTCAGAAATAAAGCCTCAGACGAAGTGATGAGCTAAAACTACAGCTAACTGGTAGGATGCTTGTGGATTTAGCCAACCTAAGCTGGCGAAGTTAGCCTAGTTTGCGATAAAGCCATGCTACATCTGCCTTCTCAGTCACATACATAGCGATGCGTCCTTGGCAAGCCACTTTCATGTAGGCACTTGTGACTTGCATTTTAAATTCCTGTTAGCCCTCTAGGTCTGAGGGCATTTTTTAGATTTTTGCATATCTTCTTATATTTGCCTTCAAAAGCACTTGCATATAACATGATACGCATACATTTCATATCAAAATGCTCTGTTATCTTTGTCACAACTTTCCAAAACCACTGCAGCAACTTCAACAGCTGTGAACTCCATTTTATATGTGTCTCCAATGTCGAGTAAATGGACAATGAAGGGTTACCAACCTGATGGCTAAGTTTGAATCCACCAATTACACACGATGAGAGGCAAATGACGTTTATCTTAACCCCTCTTCATAGCCTCATAACTCCAGAAGTGAGTCAAGTACGATAAGACGGAATCAAAAGGCCAGATTTTACAAAATCAGGAAATGTTTGAACCCTATTTCTGCACTGTTTTATCACAAAGATAGAGAAACATATATAGAAACATCAAATTTGACACTTGCGGGTGTGATCGTGGACCCCAGAGGGTTAAAATACGACATTTCATATTTTCTCTATCTTTCAGTGATAAAATGTAACAAAGCAATTTCAGTATTTGGATTCTGGCACTAAAACAGTTAACAGAGTCATCAAGTACTTGTGCGCATCCCTGCTGGATGTATGATCCTAAAAAAAGTGGATCTTCTCTGGCACCTTCATTTTTAGTAGTGTGTACATTGCAGTGAGCTTGCACCCTGGGATTAAAACGAACCGCTTGTAGATGTTGTCTTGTTCTGCAAAGATTGTGACCTGATTACAAATGCAGTCAAGGAGATTTTCCTTGTTTGTTTTTAAATGAACTAAGAGGGGGTGTTTTATTTTAGGTGTTCAAGGCATGTTCGTCTGGAAGCATGATGGTACCGTAGGTTTCATTGGTCAGTTGTTTATGATTCAAGTTCACTCAAACCTATAGATTTTTCACAAATGAATAGGCATATCAGGCATTCTACATAATGGGAACACTATAGGAGGCATTATGCATGTCGGCCTCAGGCTAACCCATCTGTCCTCTTTCCCTCAGGTGTGAGAAGTTGGAAGGACAGTAGAAGCTAAAGAGAGAAAGAGCAAGAACGATCCAATATGGCTGCTGAGGAGAAGCCTGGCGTGAAGACCAGTACCTCCATCCTGCCCTGCTTCCTCTTCGTGGAGGTGAGTCAACAAACTTTGGTCTGGAACATGCTTTATACTTTAAAACTACGACCTCTGATGCTCCTAATGTCTTTGCTGTTTGTTGAGGAGGAAAGCTGTACTGAGATGCTTCAAAGCCAATTCTAAGTTCTATGGGAGCTTTTTATCAAAGCTGGTTGTAGAAAAAGATTAATCATGATGGGTTTCTTTTTTCACATCTCTTTTTGATAACTGGTTCACTCTTTTTTGACCTCACTCCCTTTTCATCTCTACATTTCTTGTGTACACAGCTTTCTCTGAGCTAGGGCTGTGTAGTATATTGCTAGTTGTTGTCTTGATATCAACCTTCACAATACTGATGTCTCAGACATCTGTGATATGGAAATGAGCCTCTAGCTGATCACTGAATGTTTTGCTGTGCGCTGTGAGCATCCTGACCAATCGTAGATGTTCTTTGGGTGTTTGGACGAATCAAGGCATTCATGTGATCTAAGAAACGAAAGATTTCGATCAGAATAATACAGCCTGAGGTAAATTCCACTGATCTTTTATACTTTATACCTAATTTGACAAAATGTGAACAGTCTTTCAGAGTGCTTTGATGTGAAATAGTTGAAGAGAAACTTATCAACACTAATTTATTTCTACAAAAGTAATAGGAAGTGATGTCTACAATGCAAATTTTGCCATTTTATTTACTATCCAAAATGACAAACGAACCTTCTGTGTCTTTATATGTGGTGTTCATACAATTGTATGCAAGTTTGGGCACACAAACCTATTTTCTAAACCGCCTATCCTTCTGGGATACGGAGGGGTTCTGGAGTTTATCCCAGCAGTCATTGGGCAGAAGGTAGGATACATCCTGGACAGGTCGCCAGTCCATCGCAGGGCAGACAGACAGACATATATAGCCACACACACAAATCCAGGGGCAAATTAGCATGTCTAATTGGCCTGACAGCATGTCTTTGGACTGTGGAAGGAAACTTGAGCACTGGAGTACCCAGAGGAAACCCACACAGGCACTGGGAGAACATGCAAACTCCACACAGAAAGAACCCTGGTCACCCAGCCGTGGAACCGAACCCAGGCTCTTCTTGCTGTGAGGCGGCAGCAGTAAAGAAGTAAACCTCTGCAGCACACTATCTTAAAAAGCAGTTACTTTAGACATGATCAACTTAAAAAACAGAAAAAATAGTAATTATGGCATGTACAATTGTTTGGACACCATTACAGTTGTAAAGTCTCAGAACATTCTAGATCTTAATTGACTGGTTAAGACTGACAGGTCAAGAATTGCCATTAGGAAAGGTCAGCTAATGACAATTCTAGAGCACAATAAATTCTCTAACACTCAACAACCATGGACTTCTCTAAGCAGCTGGCTCAGGATTTGAAAACGAAGCCAACTGATGCCTACAAAGCAGAGGAAGGCTAAACAAGATATCAAAATTCTTCAAGCTCACAATTTCCACCATTCCAAATGTCATTATGAAATGGCAGTTAAGGAGAACAGTGGAAGTCAGGAAAAGATCTGAAAGACCAATAAAACTCTCAGATAGAACTGCTCACATGTTGACCAAAAGACCAAAGCAAAACCTTCATAAGAAAGCAGAGGACCTGCAGCATTGTTCAACAAACATGATCTGCATTGATAAGTCATCAGAAGCAAACCTTACCTGTGATCTCATTGGAAAAGTCAGAAGTTTGCAAAACAACACCAAAATAAGCCAGATGCATTTTGCAAACAAGTGCTGTAGACTGATAAATAAAAAAAAATGGATATCTTTGCACCAAATGTATGTTTGAAGAAAAGAAGCAGCATGTGACAAAAAGTACACCTTGCCAACTGTTAGGCATGAGGTAGATCTGTTATACTTTGGGGTTGCGCCGCAGCCAGTGGCACAGGAAATTGGAATGCCACAAACTATTAGCAAATTGTGAAAGCACATGTGACACAGCCAAGAAACTGAAGCTGAAAAGAGGCTGACTTCTAAGACAGCACAATGATCCAAAAACGTACCTAAAAATCCACCATGAACTACTTTAAGAAATGCAAGTTGAAGATTTTGGAATGGCCTTCACTGTTCCCACACTTGAACAGCATTGAAAATCTGCTAGGCATGCAAGACAGCTCCAGAATACTACAAGACTAAAGCATTCTGCATTAATCAAGTATGAAGTAACTGCATTAACATTTGCATGATTTTTAAAAAGCTTGCTGCAGAGGTTGAACGTATAGATATCCGAACTCATCGCCCAAGTATAGCCTATGTATGTGAAACACCGACCATGTCACATTCATGGTTCTTCAATGCATTTTTAATATATAACACAATCATTAGATGCAGCACAGTATTCACAATATGGTATTTTGTCCATATTTTGCTGCCCTACTTTGAGCCCCTGCAATTTCTTTGTTGGTGTACACAAAGGTACAAAAATGAGTTGCTAATGCCAAAGAAAAACACTTTATGTTCTCCTTCAATTGAGTGAATTCAACTGAGTTTTTTTAAAGTCATCTATTGAAATGTTCTTTGGGGAACCAAAAGTGTGTCTTAAATGACATTGTTCTAAAGAAGTCTTTTTGACACATCTATTTTTAAGTGCAGAATCAATGATTGTTCATTCCTTTGTTCATGTTTTATATGGGTTTCCAGCCAAGTGTAATACCTAATAGTGTTACAGCCCACCTCTGCACTGCTAAGCAATGTTTTTAGTGGCTTTTCTGTACATCATGTAATCAGATGGCTTACTGTTTGTGCCTGGGAAGTAGAGCGAAAGACTATTAAGGAGCTGCTCTGTTATTACACAGTAAACTCAGTGCTAATTTAACAGGGCTGAGGTTTCAGCCTGATTGAATGTTACATCCTATATTTACTTACTAGGCAATGCCGAGTCATTTATGTGCTGTAATTATCAATTATTAATACAAGGAGGTGCATCATGAGAATATTCCCTGTTGACTGAAGAATGAACAACCTGACTGGCTTTGGATTCTTCAAGCTACAGTAACCAAAGTGTACATCAGTGTCTTGGCAGTGCTGGTAAATATTTCAGCGCTGCGAGGAAGCAGTGTTTATCCCTATGAACAGTGAATGTGTTATATCTCTCCCCTCGCCTCCTCTGTCGCTCTGAGTTTGGTGAAACAAGCCGGTGTGCAGCTGTTGAAGCATTGCTCTGTCTGCAGGAGGTTTTAGTGAGAGGCTGTGGCTGGGATCAGATATGCTTATGTGTTCACAAGGGCTCAAATGCATCTAGAGATATGAAGCAGGCCCTTACACACACTGATGCACATCGTACCACAGCTGGGATGCAGTTCTTGCTTGGTGTGGTGGTAGCACAGTGGTTAGAGCATCAGTTAAGTACCAAGAGACAGTGGTGGAGGAGAACAAGGTGCAAAATCAATAGAGACAATAGACATAGGCCCAAAGCAGCTTCACAGTACTTCAGGCCAAGACCCTGGCAAGAAAAACTCCCTGAGGTGGCTTGAGGAGGAAACCTAAACAGAAACCAAGAGAATCCATCCTCCTAGAGCCATAATCATGAATTCGATTCCCAGCGATGCCACAGCAATCCATGCCCGGAAGTCCGAGAGAGCCTAATTGGCCTGGCTCTCTCTGGGTAGGTAAGATGGCCCACCCTCCCCCCATCACTCAGTACAATGCTAGCCAACATGAGTGTCCGTTAGCTGAGATAACAGAAATGGCAGTTAGCGTTCTCCTCCAAGCTTATTGAGCTGTCCAGTGCAGTACATTAGCAGCAGTTGGAAAAGATGCAGTGGCTGGGTTCATGTATCTCAGAGGAAGCATGCGCTAGCCTTCTCCCTCTCAGCCTGGTAGAATCGTGTGATGGGGAGAGATAACTAGTGGGTGGGATTCGCACTTACTAGGCTGGGTAGAAAAAAAATAAGTAAACAATGAAATGTGGAAATTGCCCTGCGATGGACTGGCGACCTGTCCAGGGTGTATCCTGCCTTCCGCCCGATGACAGCTGGGATAGGCTCCAGCACCCCACCGCGACCCAGAAGGATAAGCGGTTTAGATGATGGATGGATGGATGGATGAAATGTGGAAATTGGGACAAAATCTACCTGGATCAGCATTGTGAAGAAATATCATATTAATTCTTCTACAAGTTTACAAATGCAGTAAAATGAATAAAATGCAGACATTTTAATGCAGTAGTACAGAACTGCCATTTTTCCAGAGTAGAGTAAATGTAGTGCTGTGCAAAAGTCAGAGACCACCATCCATTTATTTCCTTTTCAGTCAGAACAACAAAGATAACTCAAAGCTATGGGTCTGAAAAGAAGATTTGGATTGAGAAGCAAAAAATGCAACCAACTACTAAGACTGAACTTTGGAGGTGTAGAAACATATCCTTGCAGATTTCTTTGTTTCTTTGAAGTGCTAAAAGCAAGGCTTCCGAAAAGAAATATAATAAACACAGAAAGAAATTGTTATATTAGTTGTTTAGGCTTTTGTGTGTAATTTTCTGCTAAATATATGTTTTCTGATTTTTACTTTATACTTAACTTGAACTTAATAGCTGTTCTGGAAATTAAATAAATGAAAAGTAGTCTCTGACTTTTGCACAGTACTATATATATAATGTTAGATTTAAGCATCTGTCCAGTGATTGAAGTACAAGCAACAAATCTTATACAGGATGTATTGGATAAAGTATCTGCACAAGTTCCCCAAAGTAACACATGTAGCCTGAATTGATGTTGCACGACAGGCTCTACATTCAATAACAATAACAACAGGGCACACAACAAGCATGGCAGTGAAAGAGAAATAGAAAACATGCAGATGTTGTTGCTTACACTGGAGATAAAGAACTGTGTTGAGTCGTGTTCCATCATACTGGTTGTTATATGGTCTCCAAAACGAGGTGGTGTTGCCTATTATCAGGTTTTGATATTACATTACAGTGAGGTTGCTGAAGAAGCCCAAGTTTCAGTAAAATATATAATGAATCATGAATCATGACAGTAATCACTCCCAAGGCAA